AATTTCCCTAGTCAAGTTTTAGAACTGTCAAGCATGATTCATTCAACTTCAGCTTCGCAGAAATTTCATTTGTTCATTGATTGTTAATCAAGTGTGAAATGAGAAAATAAATAACCAAAGTCCACTACTTACGATTCTTCGAGATCAATAACTTTAATAGCAACCTCCTTGTTAAGATCCTTATCAAACCTGCAATTCAGGAAACACATAAGAACATCTAGCTAACTCAGAGGAATCTTCCAATTAATCAGAATAGATAATTTAAAACATGCATGGAAATCAGATACAGAGGACTGGTTATATACTCGAGTTAGATGATTTGAATGGCACTTCCACCTCATGACATGGACCTTTATGAAGGCTCCACCATATAAAGAAGATGGGCCTATCACACGCATAGGATAGATACACATTCACTATCCTGCTAGTCCTCCTTTCCTTTCCAAAAGATTCGAAAAACATCACTTGCTTATATATATATTTTTAATGGTCCTGTAAGCTTATAACTCCCAAAAAAAGATGCTACTATTTCTGGTGTGGGAGACACAACTTTAAAGTCACCTAACCTTAAGGAAATAAGCTGAACTCCAAAATAATCAAATAGTAATCTCCTTACAACTACATACAATACCCCTATCTGACACTATTAGAAAACATCCATCTCCTGCCATGTTTGATACCAGTGGGTATTTCTATCCCTCCGATCTCTGCTGAAGGTGAAATATTGATTGTTGAACTGGCCAAAAAAGAACCAAATTTCCAAATGCCCGATAAAGCAATTGCATTAAAAAACATAATTTGCAACTTTCTTAAATCAGCCTAGCTCTACATCTCTCAACAACATCAAGAAGCAAATTGCTGCCAAGGTCCCTCATGATTGTTTATTTTCCCCCCTAGAACTTTGACAGCACCATCCAGAGATGCAATTGAGCCCATAGTGTAATCAATAACATATAACTTCATAAACCAGTAGCAACTTTCTGTGAAATCCAAACGGAAATTGCTGAAAATTTTCTAAAATCTCAATCAGGCCCAAAAGGAAGTTGAAATTTGTAATGAGAGGTTCCCATGGCCCAAAGCTATTAGACCTTCCCGTATTTCTTGTAACAGGACATTTCTTTCACCAATTATTAGCAATTCCAATCCAGGTTCACTAAACTTCCATTAGGCCTTTAAATGTATGATTTTCGGTGACGATTAGATTAGCGACACTGGACATCACAAATTCTAATCCCAAAAAAGAAAAAGAAAAACATCGTACCGATGAACTATTAACAGGGATAAGAGTTAATCTTGCTCAAATCTGACAATGTAGCTGAATATGGAGGCAATGTTGGGTAGAATATATACATCCTCAAAATAAAAGGGTTGGCTGTGGTTGATGTCCGGGGATATTTGCTTCCTGCCATCCCAACACATGCTTGATCTTTAACCACAGCAGGGAGGACAGATTGGCACCTAACTCCAGGCTGGAAACAAGGCCGACAATTGTAGCAGTGACTACCCATGAGAGGACGTTACGCTTCTCCCTTTAAAATCTAAACACTGTTAGTTGATATTGTGTTTGTGGTCTGGCCTTCAGTTCGGAAATCTCAACGCACAGCGCCATCGTCCTGGAGCCAACCTCATTTACTTTTTGGCACTGCTGCTCAATTTCTTGCTTTTTTTTTTTCGCAGCATCAGAGGTCTGTTTTGAACAATTTGTCAAAAGGGTTCTCATTCTTCCTTCCGTTTCCCTTGTGCATTTGTTACTTAGTGACCTGTATAGTATAACAAAAAGAAGATGCATAAACAATTGAAAGCACAAGTGATAAAAGACACGAAATTTCCCTTAATGCATTCATATTCTGGGATTGGTTTCTACTTTTGTCCTCTTCAACCTCCATTTATGCATGGCCATCTCCATTCTGTGAAGCAAGAGAAGTTAACTTCTTTGTTTGGGAGTCGGGAGAAACAAGAGCATAAAGTGTAAAAACCTGCTGAAATTGCGAGAGAACTCAATTGGGTCAAGAGGAATTAAAAGGAAACCCCCCCCCCCCCCCCGGCTTTAACCATACACCATTTAAACTTTTTAGTGTTGGTACAGAAGCATGAACTTCTAAGTAAGTTGCAGTCAAGACAACTTAGGAGCGAGCAACTAATTGAACTTAATGTTTGAACTAGATCGAGTGTTCAAATGTAGTTGACCAAATTATGATCCAACTAGCATTCCAGAAGCAGTAAAAACGAAGTGGGATATTGTCGCTGACAGATCAATGTGGGATGAGTAGTAGCTGCAGCAGGTTGGCCCATTGGTCCGCTTTCTTCGAAGTCCTGACTCCTGACTTAACTAGAGCCTTGAAGCCAGTTCACCATCCCAGAAAGCCTGTGACCAGTCACCAGTGGGACTTCTGGCTGGGGACTGACTGACTGACTGACTGAGACTCTCTGCTCTCGTACCAGAAACTAGATAGGAACGAATAGTAGCAGAAGTTCATCTTGAATTCCACTGCTACTATATTTATTATTAATAAAATAATTTTTATTGCTCAATTAACTTCCTCTTAGTATACTGCTATCGTGTATAACTAACTTCCTTTAGTTTCACAAACTTGTATCAAAATGGAACAAGTAAGAATAGATACACTACTGTCTATCCCAGATGTGTCACTTAAGAATTAGCCATGACAGTATACCCCAGTCAATTTGTTTTCAATCTTTTTATTTCATTTGATTCCCGTATTGGATTAATTTCACTTTCCACTCTTCAATTATATTTGAATTCTTGTTTTGGTCCATACATAAATTTTGAAGTGAAATGCTATAGTCCCTGAAGTACTATAAATTATATCCTGTTTAAGTAAATATGTGTTTCACTGAAATATAAATTAATATAAAATCTATCCCACTAAAATATAAATTACTCCATTCTACTTTAGTTTCTAAAGTTGAAATTTATCCCACTTAGTTAAGGACAAAATTTGTTTCACTTTCATCTATAATCCTAATTAATAAAAGGAACAATATCAAAAACCTCCTCTGAGATTTCTCTTAATATCACCTGACACCCTTAAGGTTTTTAAAAATATCACTTACCTTCCTTACTTTTGTTATTTGTGCAACAAAATTTTCAAAAATCCTAAATTACCCTTCTACTTGCTAAATAAAAATGCTCCTAAATCACTTTATTTACTTCAAGAAAATCATCATTTAAAAAATAATTTATAGTAGTGCTACTGCATTAACATTAAAATGCTATAGTCCATAAAAAAATATATTTGAAAAATAAAAAAGATAGTTGCAAAGAAATACAGTTGACTAATTTAACTCTACGTGCTCAAAATCGATTTCTTATAAACTTTATCTTTTTCTCCAACTTCTTTCTCAATTTGTGCCTAAACTTTGAAATTGTACTAACTATTATAAAAAATAACTTAAAATAAACAAATATATCATACCCCATCATCTATCACAATTATAAAAAGTAAAAGATATCAAAATTCAATTTATTATAATTTACAAATAGAAAATCGCATAGTCGTCTAAGAAATGAGCAAAAGAGGACATTGGAGAAAAGGAAAAGAGAAGAGAGTAGTAACTTTTGTTTCCTTTTTGTGAAAAATTTTTAGTTCCATTTATCTGATACATGAATTTTGTTTCAAGTGAAGGTTAATATATAGCCTTTTTGTAATTACATAAGTAATACTTTTGAAATCTTAGAAATATCAGGTGACATTAGGGAAACCTCAAGGGAGGGAGGTAGGTGCTATTATCCCTTAAATAAATGGGATAAATTTTACATCGTAGATATTAAAAGTGCTCCGCTTTGTACTTGAGAAATTACGGTGGAAATCAGAGCATGGTTAAAAGATGTAAAGTGGAACTAACCCTTCTTGCATTGGTGCGATTGGATAAGATCATTTTTCATGTCACCGTGTTTTTTTCTTGGGAAGGGGTCGCACGTAATGAAGAGCACAGCACACTGAAAACTGAATGATGGAACCTTAAGCTAGGTCTCTAGAATCGAAGTAGTACTTTGTTGACTAGGTTACAACTATGGGCTATCCTCCTAAGTAGTAACTAAAACCAAGAAAATCATTATCATTGTTGGTTTGTTATTTTCCATGTGGGATAAACATTGGATCCGTTTTTGACAATTCATCATCTATGTGATAGCTTTCGAGACATGTAGGAACGAACTCTTTTTAATTTTGTAATGACAGCATTATAGCACTAATAGTAATATATAGGCAAGGCCTTAGATTTGCCACCCAAGAAACAAAAGCATAGGAATGACCACCAAAGCTATTTACCACTACTATTCTATTAGTACTAATTATTGTTTTTTTCACCTCAAAGGTGAGAAAATTGAGAATCAGCTTCCATCCATCAAGAACAGTGGTAGAAATAGTGGGTCGTGGGTATATATCATTTGGCCCGAGTGATAAAAGCCCCCTTAATCCAAATGGTCTGGCATTTGGCTTTGAGATTATATTATTGTATCAAGAAGTTCCTTCAAAATATATATATATATATATATATATAGAGTATCTAGAAGAAGGCAAATGACTGATAGGAAATGGTGCCCCCTCCCTCTGCTGCTGCTGTGTTTGGCCTCTCCGATTATGACTAGCCAGTTGACATAGGCTTAAAAGTATCCAAATTGCATTCTTGTATGACTGGCCATAAGATTGAGAGGATGTACACTCATCCTTTCTTTAAAATTGGACTTGTCACTATTGTCGCCAATTATAATAATGTCCTACTGCCCTGTGATTTTATTAGATAGATGTCCTGATTATTCTGGGGAAAAAAAAATACTTGAAAGAACCTTGTGTGCTCAGTTTATCATTCAATGAATATTTTAGTTTCTCCTATCCCTTTTGATGGCGACAACGATTGAATAATAGGCGGTTGACAATGAGGCTGTGATGATGACGATATTGAACAATGTCTATTAACAAAAATGCCGGTAGTTACATGGGAGTGTGAGGAAAACGAAATGATAAAATAGAAGGGAATGAAGATACAAACAGTTTTCCATCCATGGGAAATTCAACCAAGCTGTCCTACATGCTACACATACATTCATATATATATATATATATATATATATATATATATATATATATATGAGTTCTTGATTTGTTGCCCATTTTTCCTAGCAAAAGGCAGGAGAGGGACTAATTAAAACAGGAGGGGCATTATGAGGCTGCAATTTTCTCGAAGAGACCAAGTCTATTATCAGCCAATCTTGACTTGTATGCAGACTTTTTGTACTCAAACCATGTAAACTCCTTGTACAAGCTGTCTTCGCCTTCCATAAGTGAAGGCAAAGGAGCTATCTTCTCACTCAAAGGTGGTCCTCCGAAATAAATCATTGAGACCCTTGATTTGGAACTGTTGGCCAATACTCTATGCCTCACACTTTTAAACCTCCCATTTGTCAAAACCTGCAAAAAAAATAAAAAAAAAACCGACCATAGCATGAAAAAAAAGGGCACCAAGAACAAGATCGCCATTAGAACAAGATTCCAAGATTGGCATATCCATTTCGCAAAATAAGGACTGGGTAGTTACAAAAGTGGGTGGTAGTAAAAGAAGAAGAAGAAAGAGAAAAAGGGGTTTTGTTCAAAAGAAAGAATAAAAAAGTCTTCAGTCCTGAAAAGTAAATTGTTCTGATTAAGAAGGTTTCTTAATGGTCATCGAGAAAGTAAGTAAAACCATGAGAATTTTCTTATCCCGCACGCAGCACTTAGCTGAAAGTGACATGGAAAGCATTTGATGTTAAAGGCATCCACGAAGATTCGTTTCATCTATTTTAGTCAAAACCGCATGTTTTGCGGAAGTCTACAGCAACAAAATGCATACGCGGAAGACACAACCATCTGGCTTAAAAATGAAAAAAGGTGTTGTCAAGAAGAAAAACTCAATCCCAATTTTTCAACAACTGAATCGCTAACTCATCTTGAAAAGCATATGATGCCGGTTAGGAAGACCATTAATTTCCTACATGGCACGTGCAAAACAGACAGAAATATCTTTGCAATATCACAACAGTGAAATTCACACTAGTACCTGCATTGAGTCACCAACGTTGATAAAGAAAGAATTTTGATCAGGTGGAACTGAAATCCAACTTCCATCCTTCAATGCGATTTGAAGGCCAGAAGTGTTGTTGGATCGCAAAACAGATATGATTTGTGGGTCAGTGTGTTCTCCAAATCCAATTAAATTCCTGCCATGCAGTTCTTGAAGGTCAGGGCAGGGTGGGTAGTGATTTAGCCTGAAAACAGAGTCACTCTGTTCATCCATCAACAGCTTGCTGAACACAGTCTGTGGCTGAATATTCAACCCTTCAGCCAATTGTTCGAGAATTGAACAGGCCATGTTCTTCACTGCCGATATATAATCATTTACAGCACCCCTGCAACAACAACAACAACAACAGCAAATTCTCATTAGAACAGAAGGTAACAGAACCCGAGAAAAATTGACATATACGTATCATCTGCTTTGAGCACAACTTACTGAAACTTCTCTGGGGTGACGCCAAAAACTGATTCGAACTTTTGGTAATTGAATCCAGGGTTGGTCGTTAAGAGGATGTATTCAACCCAACCCACGTCGCCATTTGGCCCAATCATCTTGTTACCATAGCCGAAAGGGTCAGGGGGCCCCGCTTTTTCCTTCTCAGACAGGGGCAAAGAGAAGAACTTGATGGCTTCAGACTCAAGTTTGGATATGAATTCAGTGGGAACACCATGATTGATGACTTTACAGAATCCAAATTCTTCGCACGCCTTCACAAGAAGGTGCTTGGAGTCCGGTTTTGAGAGGTCTATCAATGGAATCCCAGGGAATAATGTGGTAGCTTTACACGAGTTCTTGACTAAGCTGAACTGTTCCATTGCTTGTGTAGGCAATACCACCATTTTCTTTCTTTATATTTTGCTTTCTTTGGTTTGCTTGTGGGGGAGGGTAGGGGGCGAGGGGGTGGCGTGATATATAAGAGATGGAAGTGTAGAAGAAAGCAAGGCACCGTGGACAATGAACTGGGAAAACTAGAGATTGGCTTTGGGTGATATGATCAATGAGACTTGTGCCGTTGCAGTTGGGGAAGGGCCAAGGAGGGATGAGCTGTGCCTGTGTGTTGAGGGGGGCTGAGTATGAGCAAGGCAAATGAACACATGGCTTCAAGCTGATGCTGGTCTATTTATAGCGGTTTTTATTCAACCTTAAGACGGGAGAGAGAGAGAGAATGAGAGTCGAAGATTTCAGCACTATTTAAATGTTCTGTGGAATTTTCTCTCTCTTTCATACTATCGAATAGAATTACACAGGTGTAAACAGTCCAATCAAACCACTTGGCCAATGGCTTAGTGTTCGCCACGGAGGGACGGCTGTTCGTGAGAGTTGAATCTTACCAGCAGCGGAAAAAAATTTAAAGATTGTGTCATAATATTTCCTTGGTCTAGTTGGATATGTATACTCATTAATCCCTACAATAGCCTTTTTAGGCTCCCCTTCCCCCTAAATTAGAATATAGTAGGTTATACAAATGTATCCTTCTTAACAAAAAAAAAAAAGTAAACAATCCAATCAACGCCCACAAACTCAAAATTATTGCGTACAATTTATGTTGTATAAAGACCTAAGCTCAAAATTATTGCGTACAATTTATGTTGCAAAATCTAGAAGACCTAAGCTCATTTGGTACCAATGATGTCACATACTTAACTCAATTGATAGGGATATTAGTCAAGTAATCACTTTTATGTTTCTGATTCGATTTTGAAACCCTTTTTTTTCCCTCCTCCTCTCCTCCTCCTCTTCTGATTGAAAGGTTTGAAGTTTCCGTTAAATTAAAAATAAATGAATAAATAAATGCAAAAGATTATATGCTACAAAGTGTAAACATGCACATGCTTTTGATGGAAAACGTGACACAATCACTGAATATGAGGCACATTAATGGATGAAAGTGAAATACTACTATAACACAGTTGTTTTCCTTCATCTACATAGTGAAAAACGTGATACAAGGCATCTGATTGGATCACATCAACAGTTACTAATCTAAAGTTTTTTTTTTTTTTTTTTGGGCCTTGGATCTTTTGATATATTGTGTATTAAGAGAAGGAATGGGTAATCCAAATTTAACCACACTATAGTCTTCTTGCTTTCACACTTGATTAACAATCAATGAACAAATGAAATTTCTGCGAAGCTGAAGTTGAATGAATCATGCTTGACAGTTCTAAAACTTGACTAGGGAAATTCAAGCAAGCATTGAAAACTTTGGAAGTGGCTAGATTAGCCCAAGCAAAGTCATTGGGTGCCAAGTAACCCACTTAGTTACCTTTGGTTGCTCTTGGTCAAAGTGTAATGAAGTTTCCTGAACAAAAAAAAGTTCATTAGTTTCTTGAAAAGGAGTATTTATTTATATTAGCAGTAGTGAGCTGCACCTGTCCTCCACCCTCTTCCCCAAAAAAAAAAAAAGAAAAGGAAATGACAAATTCCCCCAGTTAGGGAAATGAGATCTAAATTATGAGGCTTCTGTTTCAGCAAGAACAATTGGTTTCAGAAACTTGTTCTTTGATTCCAAATCTTCTCTTTTTGGATCAAAACAAATTTGGGAAGTCTTTTTGGGAAAAAGAAAGTTCATTAATTTCTTTGGAAGGAGCATTGATGCTAAAAGTAGCAGTGAGCTGCACCTGTCCTCCACCCTCTTCCCCAAAAAAAAAAAAAGAAAAGGAAATGACAAATTCCCCCAGTTAGGGAAATGAGATCTAAATTATGAGGCTTCTGTTTCAGCAAGAACAATTGGTCTCAGAAACTTGTTCTTTGATTCCAAATCTTCTCTTTTTGGATCAAAACAAATCTGGGAGGATAGGAAAAAGTCAATGGCCAGATTGAGTATGTCAATTTTTTCCCCTTAAAAGCTGGCTTGATCATTTTCACCAATCAATCGTACCGGACTCTGAATGCAATGATTCCAAGCATGCTGCTTTTATGACTCTCTTTTTATCTATACAGAAAATCCTAACGCTATTTAGTGTATGTTCTCTTTGATCTGATGAAATATACAGCTAGATAGTTGTTGATGCACCAATGAGGTACGGGTGCCTATGGCCCGGACATTTTAAGTTCGAAAATTTTCAATTATTCCTTGTCCAGCAGAAACCTGAAATCTTTTGTAGGATGTGTTTGAATATGCCATTATTTGAAAAAAGAAATTATTTAACTGCATTGTATATAAAAAAAAAAAACTGCATTATGAACACATTTTTTAACCATTTTTTTAGCTGCGTGATTTCTAATTCTGGGATTCATTTCCTTTTTTCTTCTTCCTTTTTTGGTTTAATACTTGAAAAAGTTTTTGAAAAAAAAAAAAAAGAAACTATATAATGTAGAGAAGATGCACGCTCGAGATCACTAATCTTCAGACAGACATTTATTCGAATCTAAGTTAGAGGACGGCCATTGTTGCAACGCAGTACTTCAACATCTTGTTCATAACACTTGTGCAAAAGCAACGAGCGAGTAAAAACTACATCAACGGCATGCCAATTTTTCTCCTAATTAACGGTTTAGGTTTGTAAAAGTTGACGTAAGCTCTTTGGACTTCGAAAGAAAAAAAAATTAATTGGGGAGGGGAGGAAGGGAGGGTTAATTAAATCAAATCAAATCAAATCAACAGCATGGTACAAATTCAATAATTACGTAGGTGTGTCTTGAGATTGCTTGCTCTTTTTGTTGAATGTGTCCCAAAATTGCTTGGATTATATGATGATCATGAGCGTGAAGTCATCTAATTATGGATTTGCTGTGGAAGAAGCTGTGTTGGCTAGTCACCGGGGTGGTGGGGGGGTAATCAAGGTTAGATAGTTCTCCTGTTCTAGTAACCGACCATGTGGTGTGGGGCTTCATCACTCTTGCACATAATTATATACTCTGTACATCGACTTATTGAGGCCCCCATGGCCGTGGATTGTGAACTTTATAGGGCGGGAACATTTCTCATCTCTCCAGAATTGATTTTCTTTCATTGCCCGATTATTTCATCGAGTGTTAGAACCCAAGTACAAGTACTATAATTGAAGAAAGATGGGGTGGTACATAATTCGATGTAACCAAGAAATTCATGTACAGTTCTTAAATATCCCCACCACCTTCAGCTGCGAAAACAAGCGCCGAGGCCCTCGAAAACAGCTAATTACTTCTTGGATTCATGGACAGAGGTCTTTCTAGAGCTCTTTCTGTTCCTCTATCAAAATATATATATATATATATATATTTGTGCATTTGTTCATCGAAAGGGAAGTACTGTAATGCATTACTGCTTCGCCAAGTTACATGCATGAAAAAGTACCAACATTTCCAGTTGTACTACGGTTGTCATCTCTTCTCAAATTGAATAATCGGCAGTATAAACCAACAGCATCCACCGCATTAAAATTCCTCTTAATCATTAAAATTTTCTATCCCCGGCCGCATAATCCCCGACAAATCACACCTGAATTCATGCTTTGTACTTGCGTTTAAGGAGGTATTTAAATGCCTCTGATTTTCCCTTTTTTGTATTCTCCTCTTGTTCCATATTCTTCTTTTTGTTCCATGGATCAAAGCATAATTTATATAATCCTCCCGTTTTTTTTTTTTTCCTTTTTTTCTGTCCCAATTTCAATGCTAAGTAGTAAATATTTTCTGATGGAGGGAGCCACACTGAAAATCAGGAGTTGTCTAAATCATGGCTGACTAGACAGTCAGTCAGCCAACCTTTTCAGCCACGGCTGATGCAGTGGGACCCTTTACACCCCATGTTTCTAAAATCCTTAAAAGACCTTTTTTTTTTTTTTTTTTCTTGAAACACCAAAAATAAAATATTATTACTACTTCAATAATATAAGCATTCAACCTTCATCCCTTTTTTTTCTTTTTCTTTTTTTTTTGGGTTTTCTTGGCAAATTCTATTCTATTCTTTTCTTATAGTGGTATGATGATTCTATTCTGCCTTGCCAGTTTCTCCTTTCCCATTCATTTATTTATGCTGCTGATGACAGTTCAGGAATTTCTGGATTCTGTTGGTGGCATCAACACACGTGTTGAAAAACTAGCCTCCCCTTCCATACTTACCTGTCGACGCGTGTATGGCTGGGGACAACATAGGCCTTATCCCTGTGACGTGGCCTGATGTTATTCGTAGCTTTTTCCCATGTCTGATATTGCACACAAGTCACATACAATGTCAGAAAATTATTGTTGACAAAATATGGTAGGTAGGGAAAAAAATATATGTCCAGTTACATCAAAAGTTTTTCATGCAATAATAACAATTAATGTACTCATGTAAGGAATTTTGTCATAAAACACGTTGATCTGAATACTAAATTGGGTGTCGAATGGAATGACATAATCTCCAAATTGGTCATCATCAAGCAAAATTATTATGTTAATCATATATGCACTTGGTGTGTGTAATTTCAAAAAATAATTTTTTTTTGATGAAAAGAGATAAAGGTTGAATAACACGATAAGTTGTCAAATACAAATAATTTAGGAGCTAAAATAAGATTTCAGAGATTTAGGCTTTGTTTGGATTGCATTTTTTTTTGAACCTTTTATAGAAAAATTAATGTAACAATTTGATATTTGTGAGATAAAAAAATAATTACAATCCAAACACACCAGTGTTCTAGATTCGCATCTCGTCTCTCCCTTCTCTTTTCTTAAATTTCATGCCATCCCTGCTATATTTTTTTTTTTGAAAAAAAATAAAAACACACGCACACACAGAGATGAAAGAGGTTGTTAAATGTGGATGAGGACATCAAGGGAGGTTATTAGTTGACGGATTGTACGTAGTCTTAGGATGCCATGTGTAACATGAGGTTGACAAAATTATTAGAAACTGAAAATGTATTATTACATCATGCACCCAAAAAGGAAAAGCCATCAAAATTTGGCTCTTGATTTATTATATATATATATATATATATATATATTATTTTCTTGGGAAACTGCTAACTCTCAGCTGTGTAAAGCAGACGGTCGTGAAAATAACAAATAATAATGGTCTTTATTCAAAAAAAGAAGAAGAAGAAGAAGAAGAAATGGCGGGAGGATCTTTCTGAAATCTAACATAAGAGCAAAAGCCCACACCATTCTTGCCGAAATTGAGAGAAAATTCGAAACTTGCGTTCGAGCCT